CTGCTACTACGACTACCACTACTACTATTACTACTACTACTGCTACTACTCCTGCTGCTGCTGCTGCTGCTACTACTACTACTACTACTACTACTAACAACAACAACAACAACAAGAACAACAACAACAACAACAACACGACAACAACACTAGCACTAACACTAACAGTAACATTATAAACTACATCTATCGATTATCTGTCTGCCTCTATGTATCGTCTGTGTCAGCTCCAATCAGTCTAGCTATGTATCTATCTATCTGTCTACCTTTCTTTGTGCGGCCTAATTTTTTTATCTACCCACCACCCTCCTGACATGCTCAACTGCAAGCCCAAAGGCTCTTGCCTTTGGCCACATTCAAAACTGTCTCGAATGAGACGTGGGTTTAAGTTTGGTTCCTTTGCGCATCTGCTGTCGTTGATTTCAAGGGACAGATATCAAGTCTCCAGCACAATCAAGAGGACAGAAGCAATCCGTCTGAGATGGAGAGCGGCCCCTCATTCTGGTTTGACAGGCAGACGGCCGATGACTTTCAGAAGCTACCAGCGAAGGTATGTATGAGGACTGTAAACGAGTGCGTAAACTTTATTGTCGCGGAGGCCAAGCCACAGCAGTTCTGCGACCACCAGCACCACCACAACTCACCAACACCGTGAGCACCACCTGGACCATCAGCGCAGCCAGAACCAGCAACCAGCAGCACGAGCTGCAGCACCACCCAGCACCACCACCAGCAACACCACGGACCACCACCGTCATGTGCTCAATTTTTTCAACACATGAACCCATGTCGGGCCACCACCCCGGAACTGTTTCTTCCGCAGCCCGAAGCTTGCAGACAGTGGCCCGGCCTCCTTCAGAAACGATTTCTTAGAGGAACATACTTCCTTCCCTGTATCCTTGATCCTTCCGGATCTTGCAGGCTTGCTGGTAGTGGCTACTTCGATCGGACCGTCGGCTCGATGGTCGCGGCCATCTTGGCAGAGATTGAGGCGCAAACAGATGGCTAGAATATGCGGAATCTGCGCAGTTGGAGTGTAGGCAGTCAGAAGCAATTCAGAGGTACTGTATCGGCAATACTCTTAGCCCCTTATGTCTTGGCCCTGCACGGTGAAAGAAGTGCAATGTTTCATAATCGCAGCTCGCAAATCCGTGGTGACTGCTGGAGGAACTTACCGACTTACTACCTGAGACGCCACCTCGTAGGCTTTTCGTGCGGATCGCCCCTGGCTGGCGAACGGAGTTGAGGCTGACCGACTTGACGATATCTTCGAAATTAAGAGCTGTAAGGTTTTCGTTTTCAGATCGAAGGTTCAAGTTTCAACAACAGTCAGGGTTCTTGCTGTTTTTCGGCACGTGTGGCAATACTTGCACGCGGAAGGTTCCTCCTACTTCTTCCCTCCTAGTTCAAACCACCATTTGTGCCTGATACTTACATACTGGAGACATTATGCCCTACCCTAAACCTTATGCCCTAAATCCTAAGCCCTAAACCGAAGGAATCCGGTCTGTAGCAGCCTTAGCCTGAAGCCCCAGCGTTGGCGAAGCTTCGGACTCGAACTGAACGCAGCAACACTATTGCTCTCCTCTCCCACGAGACAGACGTATACTGATATCATGACGAAGTCTCGAAGCAGGAAAGGATAGTTATTCGCCGAATATATTGTGTCTGCCTGTCTGTCTGTCTGTCTGTCTGGGTGGGTGGGTGGGTGGGTGGGTGTGGCTGGTTCTTTTGGTACGCGTCGAGTTTCTTGGGTGCTGTCGGAAAGGCTCTTTCTCTGCTCTGGCTAGGCCCGGCGCTCAACAGCTTAATTCTAGAGCATGCATGGACAGAGTCCGAAGAAAGCCCTCCGCCCTGTCCAGGGGTTTATTCGTTTCTCCACCAACATGGACAGGATCACAAAAAAGGTTGCTTCGCACACGGGTTTGTCTTCTGCCCTGCCACGTATCCATGACCGAAAAAAATCCTTCCTTTCAGCGGACAGTGCTTTCCGTGGCGCTTCTGCAGCCCGGATCGAGATTCCTCGGGCCCGAGATGTTGAGATAAAAGCCCTCCTAACCCAACGACGTTTTAAAAGGTCGTCTTGTGCGCCCCTTGCCACCTAGAGGTCCTTGAGGATGCCGTCCTCTTAGCAGCAAGGGGGCTTAGTTGGGCCCTGAGGTAAAAGGAACAAATCAAGCTTCGAGAAAGGCAGACAACGCCTTGACAGGCTGCACAAGGCTTGTTTTACTTCTTGACAAGCTCTCGACCGAATTCGCAGGGTTCGAACATTGTCACGCCTTTCCCGGGCTCGGGCGGGTGGCTGGGTGGGTGTGGGTGGGTGGGTGGTTGGGGTGGGTGGATGGGTGGGTGGGTGGGTGGGTGGGCTTTGCTTTTGTTGCTGTACAGCTGCCTACTCATGTTTGTGCTGACTCCCCCACTACTGCGGCCACGTCAAGCACGAGCATGACGCCGACGGCGGATGCTCCGGCTATCACCACTACAATTCCGCATTCCTCGCCACTAAGCAACTGTCATTTAGCCCATATCTGCCAACATAAATCAACGACAGCAGTCGCCATCGCATGTCATCATCCACACGGCCCATCATACCCTCATGACATTCCGAAACGGAGAGAACCGCGGCGAGGGCATTCACCGAATCAATGGCAGACGACCTTTTCTTGCTTGGATTGACAGGCGCTTCAAGAGCGACTTCAGCAACTCACTTTGCTTCAAGCAGATGAGGAAGCGAGGCAGGCATGTTGATTTGCACCATGGATACTTTATCTCCATCAAGGGTCCACGTATCCGCCTGAGATTATACGTAATGTATGTACGTATGTATGTACGTACGTATGTAGGTAGATAGGTAGGTGTGTGTATGTATGTATGTATGTATGTATGTATGTATGTATGTATGTATGGCGTGCTTGTGTACTTACCGCTCAAGACGTGTCATGCAGTTATCAGGACAACGGCCATTGCTCTTAGGATGGTCATCATGCCGCATGGCATACTTGTAGCTTTAGCAGTGATCCTTTCGAGGTGGAAGGACGAAGACGTTCTCAGCTGCGGCAACCTCGGGACATTGGGCTGTTGTGAGCGTCTTGCGCTGGTGGTTTCTTGAGACTCGTCGGTTATCATAACACTGTTTTAAGGATTCATCGTCTAGCTCTTCCGTTGTGTGGAAAGTATTGGAAAGTGGCGACAGCTGCATTCTGCTTTGCATACCAGGGCCGCAGAGACCTCCTGCGGACCGTCCTCTGCACGGGGTCCATGTTCAGATAGGTTTGTTAGTCGAACCTTGCAATGAGAGTTTGCTGCAAGTCTTGCGAGAGCAGAAATCCACTTACTTGTCCAACAAGTTGAGCACCGCGTACCCTCGAATCCAAGTCTTTACTCGCAGCTCTAAACACGGAACACGAGGTCACCAGTTGGAGAAGTCGAGGGCAGAGCTGCAAGAGGCGAGGCATGCCAGCAACACATGGGTTGCAGCTTGGAGTCCACATCATTTTGGCGACTCTCCTCGGTGATATTTCTGCCGCTTGGGCAAGGCGGCGCGCTGCCAGAGAATTGAGGAGGAGACTGGTGAGCTTTGACGGGGCAGTCTGAACTCGGTCTACCACCTGAAAAACTCTTCTAGGTCTTGGGGCCTCCCCTCATTCGAGCTCAGCCTCTCGGTTGTCGTCTGCTGGTCAGCGGCAGGACCAGATGCAGACTACACGCGCCACGCTTCAGGCTGTGTTGACTTTCGATACTTATTACAGTATATGACCTTCATGAGAAGTATGTTGGTTCATTGAGGCTAAATTAAACTGGAAGCTGCATTGCGGCTCGCTGTTTGCGAGGGGCAGACTTTGCGTTTAAGTTACTTTGCGTGCAATACCAGTTGTCGCCGCTGAAGCCAAGCAACATCCCTCGTTGGCGTTGGCTTTGAACCTACGCAGCTCATCCACATGGCTGGATCCGAAGTACCTGCCAACACCCGCCCAGGCCCTCCAGCAGCGTGCACATGAGGCGGAGGAAATGCGCCTCCAGGCCAGCTGGCTTCTCGGGAAGTGTACAAGGGTAGCGGCAGAGTATGTGTTGGCTGTATAGGGTTTGAAATATATTTGCAGACTAGCGTCTACGGGTCTTGGTAGTCCATCGGTATGTGCATTCATCCTTTCGGCTTGGCTTTCTGGCTTTTCATAGTTCAGCGGGTTTGAACCTATGAGAGTCGGTAGGGCCTCAAGATCTTCTGGCCTCAAAAGAAGTTCTATGCCCTTTGCAAAGCAAAGTCTGCTTTATGCCGATCTCCCGGTTGGATTCGCGCGGCAACAGATCTCATCGTGAAGTTGCTCATATTTCAGTATTTGCGAGAAGCGTCCTCCAAAGAAGTCTCAGGGTTCATGTCCAAGCTTTGTGTGCCCATCTAAGAAAGTAAGTGGGTAGATAAGGAGTCACGTAGCTGTGTATATGTGCATGTAAGACGGCTAGCAGGTATGCACCTTTCGCATACATGCATATACATACATAAACATACATACATACATACATACATACATACATACATACATACATACATACACACACACAGACATACTGCCGTCGTGCATACACAGCTGCATACATCCACGCCCACACATACCTCCGTACATGTACACACATACATATACATACATGCATATGCATATACGGACATGCGTGCGCACGCACGCACGTAATATATACGTACATAGACATAGTATGTATGTATGTATGTATGTATATATATACATATATATCTATCTATCTATCTATCTATCTATCCATACACACAGGCGTGCGTAATACATACATGTCTCCATCCTTCCATCCATCCATCGATCCGTCCATCCATCCATCCATCCATCCATCCATCCATCCACCCACTCATACATAGTTACGCTGTTACATACACATACACGCAAACAGACCGACAATTAGACACGCACACAAGCACACTTGTTTCGGACCATGCCATTACTTCAGACGCCTGTTTGCAGCAAGGAACAGCAAAGGCAGCGTGAGCAGCTCCTCGAGTACAAGGACTTATGGCCACACACATCATTGGGCGAGTGTAAATCCAGAACACCGGGGTCTATTTTCGCTCCATATTATCACACAAGCAAATGAAGCTGCATAAAGCACGAGCAAACGCGAAAACAAACAAACAAACAAGGACAAGCAAGACACATCAACATAAAGAAGCACGACAAAGACTCCATGAACAAGCAAACACAAACACTATCTATCTATCTGTCTATCTATCTAAACACACATATAAATATAATTATACATATACATATAAATATAAATATAATATAAAAGCATGCATATGTTTTCTTTATACTTGACTTATACTTATATATATATATATAAGTATATATATATATAATATATATATATATACACATGTATACTTGTGTTTATATTTCGCCAATACCCCATACATGTTGCGGAGTTCTTGCAGGGCTTCAAGGCTGTTGTCGCTTTACTAGTTGGGAGATGCAAGAGCTAGCTTTGGCTGTACTTGCGCTAAAGACCCCACCTTAAAGAAAAGTAATACTGCTTTGTATTGCCTTACATCTCTTTTCACTAGACCAGACTCCACCTGATAGCAGGATGACCGTATTCGGTATTGCCTATGATAGCTACGTATATGTATTTACGGGCGCAGCTCTACCTTAAAGCACAACACCAGGGCTAAGTGTTGCGTAGGATCCTTTCCTATCACGACGAGACTCCACCTGGCAGAAAGACTAATAACACAAAATGGTATTGCACTATCCGCTATTTACTGAATCGGACAACTCATTACAGGTTTACGACTTTCATGAACACATCCATCGGCTTATCTATACGTATTCGAACAAACTGCTTCCGCGTGAAAGACCAACATCGAATACTGCTTACGGCCCTGCTAAGTTGCTAAGTCATGTAAGGGAACTCACTTCGAGCAAACTACCGCAACTAAGCATCGTCTACGTCTGATTGCCGCTGTTCAATGGATGTTCTCAAAACAAGACACAACGCACAAGTGTTGTGCGCAACGTCTCCTTTCACCACAGCAAAGTACGACTGTCGAGTAGTGCATGGAAGCTCTCCACAGGAACAGGGCCGCACCATGGCGGGATGCTGCCATGAACTATTGTCTGTACTCGCTCCACTCATAGTAAATGAGCTCGTCGGAACTGATTTCATGAAACGGATTTGTTGCATGACCCTTCAATACTTGGCCCTGCTGGCCCGGGAATCTGGGCAAGTGAAGAATATGTTGTAAGTATGCTATATATTGTCCCAGCCAGTTGCCCAGGCAGTTGAATTTTCTGCGTTCCTGTCTGCACCCAGTTGAGACGAGTTCATGTCTGTTACAGGTCATACCTTCCCACAAGTACGAGAATGGCTCCTTTCAACCTGAAGCAACATCCCGAATCAGCATACTGCATGTTGCAATACTTCAAAGAGTCCTGAATGCAAAGCCAATGACCAAGTCCAGAGTCAAACTGTCGAATTCAGTCCCGTGCAAGACGTGAAGTCCCCACCTGTACTTATCACACTAATTAAGTCCATAGACGCTGCTTGTTAATCAGCATGCAAGTCCTCGTAATATGGACCGTGTTTTGGTCTGGTTCCGTTTGGGCAGATTGAGCCCGATATTGTTTGTCCGTTTGACGTTGTCAGAAACATGAATGGACGTGCAAAATTTTGCCCAGACTAAATACTCCTCTTCTGAACGAAATGTGAGTACTAAGGTCATCCCGCGTAGGCTGACTAGGGCGGATTCTGTCCAGCCATACACAAACAGACAAAAATGCAAAATCATAAATACCAATCCAAGACACACAACAACAAGCAACAAATCACCACTACACCATGACGAACGTAATGAGACGAAAAATCACTACTAATCGGATTCGATACGATGTTAAGGGCACTGGGCATATGGGCTGTTGCATTCGGTTAAGGAAGCAGCTGGGAGCACTTCTTTTCGAGTTGGGCAGGCCAGATCGCAACGCTATGACGTCGGTCAGCCCACTATGTAAACAAACCCTATGAAGAAATGAGTGTTATTTTTTCGGATGTTGGAATTTGTGGGGCCCCATGGACGCGAGGATGGGCTCCGGCACCTGTTGGGAAAGCTGAGGACCGGCACTGTGCTTCAGTTCTGGGCATGAGGTTGCTTCTTGATCCCGCTGTTGTGGCAGTTGTGCAAGTTAGCTCATGCGCGCAATGTGTCAAACGCCCTGAGTCGTCGATGGCCAGCGCATGGAGAGCATTTTGATGATTATTGATGTACGATTGCAGCTTGTGACATACTGTAAAGCACGACATGGGGATGCGGCGGTTGATGCTGGGGAATCTTGCGATGCGACTTCTTCTCAACGATGACCTTACATGGCCGGCAGCATTTGAAATGTCAATACGGCCAGAGTTCGCAGTGCTGCCTTATGAGCCAGGCAAAGCCACAATTAAGCTCCTCCAATGAGCCTCTGCTGCACGATGCTCGTTCCTGAAGTATGCAAGTCAAAGAACTTCGGATACGCTGCACCTCCAAATTGTAAGCACCTCAGTTGCGTCTCGCTCTTTTGCGAGCATTGTGACCAGGGAGGAGTATGACCAAGACATGGCCACACTCAAGCAGGTGCAGGAGGAGGACCACACTCTGGGAAACATAGTGTCAGTGGGTAGGGCCTAGGTGACGCGTTCCGGCTGTGGGTCTTGTGTCGGATGTCATATGTGTTGTATTTTCTACGGATTATTGCATGGTATATTGAAGTATTCTGTATTGTGTATATGATACATTATTGACTGTGTTTTCTTGTGCATTACTCGGTCCCGGGGCTACCTCGTATCAACGGGTGTTTTATGCATCTGCAATGCGTCTACTTCGGGGAACGCATTATAGATGTTATATCATCTAATCAAGCTCTGTATTTTCACTTTCATATTCTTCGGCGTCTGCAGCACACTCTATCTGTCGGTGTCAGTGAGCGCGTGCGCCCGCATCTTCGCACGAGTGTGTGCTTGTGTCTGGCAGATTTGTGAGCTGTGCATGGTCCAGAAGCCCTTGCGATAGCTGACGATTGGAATACTCCACATCGCAGCGTCTACATGGCAAACACAATCTGGTTTATTATCTTGGAATGCTTCTAAATGTAGTATATACCTCAGCGTCCGCAACAAATCCCGCATTTTGGCCTGTCTGCTTCGTGCTTCTTGAAACCAGCGTCTACATGGGGTTTAGCTAGTTCTGATGTGTAATTTCCCCGCTGATGTGTTTTGTCCCTAAACCAGCGTCTGCCGGCATTGATGTGTATTCTCACCAGCTGATGTGAGATAACGCCAACGCCTAGTAGGTATATGCAAGATGTGTGTGTGTGTGTGTATGTACATATATATATAGATATATATATACATATGTACATATGTATATATATATATACAAAAACATATGTTGATGGCACGCTCGAAATACAGACGTACATACGTACGTACATACATACATACATACATACATACATGTATGTATGTATGTATGTATGCATGTACGTATGTATGTACTGTACGTATGTATGTATGTATGTATGCATGCATTCTCTACATTATGTTGTGTAGGTTTTGCATTATGTGTCTGTCTTTGACATCACATATTATGCGTCATGTAGTTGGAGTGCGGCGCGTACCCGAGCGTGTAGTTTCAGCCACTTTCGGAAGATTTTGGGGGTTCGGGGTTGGGGTGGGGGGGGGG